CATGCGCAGTTCCTGCCGTACTTCAGCAGCCAAGGGTGCAAGTACATGATCTTGCTAGAGATTCAATGATATCACCAATACCTCTAAGAGAGAGGATATAGGAGGCTGATTTAGTGCACCTAGCATCTTCCCTTGCCTAACCCCCCTCCCCGGAGGTCTCTGATAGCTTGAGAATACTTTATTTGAAAACCCTAGCTGCTGGACACACCCTTGGATCAGGGCCAGGTGATGTATATTTGAAAATTCAGTCCTAGATATATTTTTTTAAAGCTTTCTGCTCAATTAATTTGGTGACTAACAGCCTCCTTTGCCTTTCAGAACGTTTCCCCATTTTCCCTCTCTCCACTGAGCATACTGTGTGTGACAATGTAAATGTCGAAAAGGTTGGATATTTCAGATCCTTAAGTTTCCTGCGGGAGGGGAAAAATGCGTTTTTCTTTCCCTTACAAAAAGAGATACGATTACCAAGCACTCCATGCTGTTTGACATTCTCCCTGCTTATGTTTTCTGTGACAGTTGATGGCTGCAATTTGCAGGGCATTTTGAGATGCAATGTGAGGGGCCTATTATGATGTCTGGCCTTATTAAGGCTTCTCGTGGAAAAAATGAAGGTGATAGATGTCTTCATAATGGGCCTAAATGGGGTATAATTTCATACGGCCTTGATGTGAAGACCACTAAGAGTGAGTGAACTCATTTAAGCCTCTAATAAAGAAGAGATGTTGGTGTGTAATAACCTTAAGGGAAGGAAGACGGATAATGAACAGTGTTTCACAATGTGCCTCGGCTAGCCACAGTTTACCTAGATGATAAAGGCTACCCCATAAACAGCATGCAGGCCAATGGGACAGACCTAATTTTCTGGTCTCTTTTCTTATAAATCAGTAACCTATTTTGCCTTTACGGGGAAGGCTTTGGAAGTGCTCCCCCCTTTTTTTTTTACAAAGTGTCAGTATGTGCACTCATGGACCAAGATTGTTGCCTCAATGAGATCTCTCAAAGCTAAATGTCTGAATAGGAGTTGAGTACATTTTGGTGCCAGTTCCAGCACGTATTATTCACTACTAGAACCGTTTATAAATTGCTCCCCAAGAGTCAATACATCACCAAAAAAGAGCACAAAAGAGGACGCAGTCTGCAAAATAAAATAAAGTAAAATAAATTTAGAAATAATGACTAGAATTTAAATAGAAATGCAGTACATCTCACCATAGTAGAGAAGGCTGTGATGAGGTAACCTGCTCAGTCAGCTCTCCACATGTGAAGAGTTGATGAGCAATTTCCAAGCCTCATCTCTCGCTTCTTATACATCTTTATTTTTAAACCAGACTAGGACCAGGACTCATGGGCCACCCTGGCTGTGACACACCCCAAGCAACAGGATTTGCCTTCCTAGCAACCCTGATTAGTTTTCATTCTGATTAGTTTTTACTCAGTGGAAACGTGACACTTGGTTCAGATGCCTGGAAACGGTGAAGGTGGATATTTAAGTAAGCTACCCTTATCTTGCTGGTGCATTAGTTAAAAAAGCAAGAGGCTGCCAAGCAAACAGTTCCAGCGAGCTCTTCTTTGAGCAGAGGGCATTCCAGTCACTGTTGGGTAAATATAAGCATGAGTGGTCCAGACAATAACCTGTACAGAATAGAAACAAAGAGGACATTCCAGCGGATATTACACAACACAATGAAGGGAATACTTTGGCCGTGAACAAACAGATTCTTAAAAGTTAAAAAAAAATGCCCTACTGTGTTGGGTTAAAGAAACATCAATTAATTAGGATTGAGATTAATTTTGGTCTCACATGCCTCCACTCAAAAGAAAAACAATATCTAACCATTCATCAACTTCACTGCATATTACCATATTACCACTGCATATTAGATATTAACCATATGCTAAACTGGTGATTAAAATGCCCATTCTTTAAAGTTTGTCAAGTTATGACTCACTATAAGGTTTTCCTGTTTCCTTAACTATTTTAAAAGTGGATGATCCATCCCTCCATAACAATATGCAACAAATGATTTACTCAGCCAAAAGTAATGGAGATATGATACTGAATTTTGTAATGCAGATTTGACAGTGAAACTTCTAAATGCATACTTTTGAGTTTTTCCAGATGGTGGGGAATCTTTGGCCCTCCAGATGTTGCTGGACTGTAACTCCCATCATCCCTAGCCATTGACCATGCTCTTGAAGAAGATGGAAGCTGTAGTTCAGCAACATCTGGAGGACCAAAGGTTCCTCATGTTTGAGCTGGAGTCTACCATCCTAACCTCCCTTACCTGAAAGTAAACCCCATTCAACTCAAGTAGGATTTATTTCTGCATAGACATGGTTTGTCTCTCTATTTTAATCTAGGAAATATTGGGAGATTTGTTTCCCCCTTATGACAAAGCAATGGGTGAATTTCTACTCTCAATTAGTAGGCAGCCAAGTGGCGTCAAAGGCCACTACAGCCCACAGGCAGCTAGATGGTTCTTCGCTGCTTGCACAAGACCTATTTTTCAAAGACATCTTTCTGAAATGAAAGGCAGTACAGATTCCAGTTTAATCAATCATACACTTCTGCCTTCACAGAAAATGCAAACTCCAGCCATGATACATTTTCTACTTACCAGGTGGACAGAGCTCCTAAAACATGAACAGGCCACAAAAATGACAATCCTTCTAGCCATGGGCACTGCAGACATGGCACATGTCTACTACAAACACGTTTATATGTTGCATTTAGATACCACCTTTTTTGGCTTCTAAGGAGCTCGAGGAGGTACATGCAGTTCTCCCCCTCCTCATTTAATCCATCCAACAACCTTGTGAGGTAGGTTAGGCTGAGAGACTGTCACTGGCCCAAACTCACCCAGTGAGCTTCATGGTCAAATGGGAATTCAAAACCTAATCTGACACTCTAACCACTACATCATGCTGGCTCTTATAAAGCTTATGAAAACAAAGGGCCAATACAGTGTAGGGTTAGAGATCAGGGTTCAAATCTCTACTCAGCCATGAGAATCTGGCCAGTCACCATCTCTCAGCCTTGCCTACTTCACAGACTTGTTTTGATGGTAAAATTGGAAGTGGAGTAGTAGTAGTAGTAGCAGTAGTGGTAGTAGTCAGAATGAGAAGTGGGTCATCCAAAGTCTATTTTCCTAGTTAGCATTTGAACAAAAGCATTTTGAAGGAGAAGAGTTCCACTGCTTGTTATGAAAGTTATCCTGGCTTCCGGCATATATGTATGTGAGAGAGAGTGTGGATATCAGGGAATGTTCCCTCAAGTATATACTTTTCACATGCATATGCCACGAGACAGTTGCCTACAAACTATAGCTGCTTTAAAATTTGCGGGGGGGGCTTACTCTTCATGATTACATTACAAGCGCTTACAATTCTCCCCAGTTATAATTTCCAGATCCCTGCAATGCATGGGGGGGGGGTTGAAATTAATTCACACAGTGCAGAATGTATGAGAGAGCATGATGAGACAAGTGGTGTTTACTTGAATTTGCCTATGGTTGGGCTTGGTGTTTCTTGCTCTCAGTAATGCATTCCTTTACCACAGGGTGCTTTGCAATCATTATCTCCTTCATTCCCTTGAAACCCTTTGGGTAGCTTACTGTACTTGCTTTTTTATGCAGCATTGAGTGTGAGGGGCAGGCCACCTACAATGTGGGCAGCTCAGCACTGATTCCCTGGAAGGTCTGGAATGACCTGTTTTGAACCCTTTGAGTACATAGCCACCAATATATGGGAATGGCTTCTCTGTGGGTTCTGCACATGCGGGTGCGGAAGTCAAGATCCACATGGTCAGGGCTCATTTAGTTGGAGATATGACCAAGTGGGAAGGACCCATATTGTAAGCTGCACCAGCGTGGCTTCCAAACATGATCATGCCTGGAAACAGTGGAGAAACAGGCTCCAGTACTGTGTGAAGGACCTAATTTCCCGGCTTCTCCTGGAAGGATTTTCTATGGATCTTTTTTCTTGCAATGGAACTTGAAAACATGGCATGTAACATGGGGGGAGACAATTAAAAAAAAAAGAAATCAGTGGTAGCCATTAGAAATAGTGGGTTGTATCCAACTGCATTCTATTCAGAGTAGCCCCACTGAAATGAATGGAGCTAAGTTAGGCATGCCCATTAATTTCAATGGGTCTACTCTGAGTATGACCAACATTGGATGCAACCTAATGAGATTATAAGAATATAGCCAATAGTTTCCATTTCTGGGGTGTAAGAGTCATCTTAAAGGTGCGTGTTCCTAATTCAGATTCTTTACCATAGAGCAAAATGCAACATTCAGTCCTCGGTGTCTGTCCTTCTGCCACTGACTTTTGTTTTTGTTTTGTTGCTGTTGACATTTTATAGAAAAGGTCTTGATTTTATAAATGTGCAAACAATACCCTTTTCCCATCCCTCTTCCTCCCCCTCTCCTTGCCCATTTTCTTTCCCGCTTCGCATTCTTCTTCCACAGATTATCATGTTTACATATATTGACAGAACCTGTATCGGGATCCTGCTTTGTAAGTTACATTTGCATGGCTCCACTGGGGCTTTTAAGTTTACAGGAAAGGTGGAAAAAAGGAGATATAACAGGAGTGTATAAAATTATGTGTGGCATGGAGAAAGTCGGCCTTCTTTCTCAAAATGCAAGTAATCATTGGCACCCAAGGAAGCTGAATGTTGGAAGTTTCAGGGTAGACAAAAGAATGTATTTCTTCATACAGTGTATACTTAAGCTATGGAAATTGCTCCAATAAGAGTCAGTGATGGTCACACATTTAGAAGGCTTTAAAAAAGGTGGCGCTGTGGGTTAAACCACAAAGCCTAGGACTTGCCGATCAGAAGGTCGGTGGTTCGAATCCCCGTGACGGGGTGAGCTCCCACTGCTCGGTCTCCTTCTGTTCCTCCTCCCGCTTGGCAGCGACGCGCCTGTCCTGGAAGCCGGAGGAGGAACAGAAGGGTCTCCTTCTGTTCCTTCTCCAGCTTCGCTGAAGGGCGCTGCGCCTTCTCCCTTCCCTCTCTGCGCAGCGCCTCTCCTGTGAAGGAGAGGCGCTGCGCAGAGAGAGAGAGAAGGTGCAGCACCCCTTGAGCAACGCGCCTATCAAGCGAAGCCGGAGGAGGAACAGAAGGGTCTCCTTCTGTTCCTCCTCCCACTTGGCAGCGACATGCCTGTGCAGCGAAGCCCGAGGAGGAACAGAAGGGTCTCCTTCTGTTCCTTCTCCAGCTTCACTGAAGGGGCGCTGCGCCCTCTCTGCACAGCGCCTCTCCTGTGAAGGAGAGCGCCTCTCCTGTGAAGGAGAGGCGCTGCGCAGAGAGAGAGAAGGCGCAGCCCCCCTTGAGCAATGCGCCTGTCATGCGAAGCCGGAGGAGGAACAGAAGGGTCTTCTTCTGTTCCTTCTCCAGCTTTGCTGAAGGGCGCTGCACCGTCTCCCTCTCTGCACAGCACCTTTCCTGTGAAGGAGGGGCGCTGCACAGAGAGAGAGAAGGCGCAGTGCCCCTTCAGCGATGCGTCTGTCCTGGCTTCTGCTTTAGCCCTGCGCAGACTCTTTGGGCAGGGGGAGCCTTCATCCCGCTGCCCTGAAGAGGCTTGGCGCGGTTACCCCAGAAGCCAGAACAGCCACACGGTATCCCAGAAGCCAGATCCCTCTTGCTGTTCTGGCTTCTGGGGTTCAGAATAATTTTTTCTTGTTTTCCGCCTCCCAAAACTAGGTGCGCCCTATGGTCCGGTGCGCCCTATGGTGCGAAAAATACGGTAAATGGTGTTTCCGTGCGCTGCTCTGGTTCGCCAGAAGCGGCTTAGTCATGCTGGCCACATGACCTGGAAGCTGTACACCGGCTCCCTCAGCCAATAAAGAGAGATGAGCGCCGCAACCCCAGAGTCGGTCATGACTGGACCTAATGCTCAGGGGTCCCTTTACCTTTACCTTTAAGAAAGGATTAGACATATTCGTGGGGAAATAAGGCTATCAGTGACTACTAGCCATGATGGTGAGGTTCTGCCTAACCCAACAGGTTCTTCTTATGCACTTATGTTCTTACTCCATGCCTATGGTTAACTTTAACTATCATTCAAAAGTGTGTGCTGGGAGAGTGATCTTCCAAATGTTGAGATATATCATAGGGCAGTCTTCTCCAGCCTTGGACCATCCAGATATTTGGCCTTAGGGATAGGGGAGACATTTCGTTCAGTTTCCATTTAAAGGTGAGCCTACCAAAGCCACACTTTCCAAAACAATGCAAGAACCGAAACAGCTGTCCTTTGCAATTTGCAGTTCTCTGAATTTTGCAATGTCATTCTCCAGGCAAGTAATGTGTGCAAAAAATAAATAAATCATCTACTAGGGAAAAGGGTGCATAAAATGCATATATTGGTGAAAACAGCAGACAAAAATCCTTTATATTAGGAGAAAGTGCTTGCAAAAAAAAATACACATTATGCAAAAATTGCACTAAGCTGCATATATTAGGAGAAATTTGCACTAAAATGGTAATGAATTTTCAGAAGTGCTTTTTTTAAAAAAAATATTGCACACCAATACGGACATGTAGAGAATGGAACTTAAGACTGGGAAAAAAGAGAAACTGAAATTGACAGATTTGTCCATCCTAATTTGGACTATTTCTCATCATCCCACCATACAAGTGCATTGCATCTCCTGTGGCAGCAGGCCAAAGTTCCTATTTCTCAATCCTGGAATAGCCATGGAGACTGATATTGCCATATAAGTCACACGTACAGCCTTCCTCTTTTCACAGGAATCCACATGTGCTTGAGATCTTCTTGTTATGCATTTGTTGCAACTGCACAGCAAGACCATTCTCCTCATCGTAAGGCTCCAGAGTGAAATGTAATATCCATCTGACATGAATGCCAAATGTATCATGAGCTCTGCATACACCTTTGGTGCTTTTATATTTTTAATGCATTCAATCAATAACTTTTTTTAAAAAAAATAGTCAAGGTTGCTTCAGTATTCTGCTTCAAGGAGGTAATTGTATGCAGGACATGACCCGAAGCTGCAAAAAGGAAGCTAAATGAATAATATTTTTTAAAACCATTTCTGACTTTTTGGTCTTAAACCAAAACAAAATCAAGTTGCTCTGTCTCTCGACTTCCATCAATTGTACTTTCTTTCTTTTTTAAGTGAGAGACATCCAGGACATTCCAAAGGGAAGTTCAGCAAGAACAATGTGCTAATGTAATCTTATTTCCACTAACCAAGCACTGAGAAGGAAGAGTAAAACCCACAGTCATATTCCAACACGCATATCTATGGAATAAGGTCTATGTCATTATGTTAGCTCACACTTCAAATCCTGATAGTGCATCTGTCTCACACAAGTGGGAGGTACACCTTCCTTTGCAAAATAAAACAAAATAAAATAAAATCCAGGATTTGCTACTGGCCTTATTATCTTTGTGGTTCCTGGCCGGCCCGAGGCTTCAAACCCAACCTTGACTTCTTCCAGCAGATGGAGACAACAGGAACCTATTGTAACATGATCAATGCAATGAATGGAATTGTTGGGTTGGGTTTTGAGTGTGGGAAGCTCAGATCCACAAAGGCCCTCTATGAAGCTTGATGCCTCTGAGGCAAGTTTGCTACGCAGTATTATTGTGGAGGGGAAATGCAGTGAGAATACATTATTCATCCAAGGACTATAGTACAATGTAAAAAAAAAGTTGTTTTTAAGAAAATTATATGAAGTGCTTAGTAACTGGTAGTACTTGTCGAGGGGGGGAAATTGATCCCAGGAATATTGATCCTTTCCTGCTCCCCCTTTTTTTAAATCACCCCTACCTGTGCTTTATTTGAATTTAGGATGGGCTACATTCTAATTGGTGTTGTGCTGAAAACTCAAAAGTTTTCTTCTTCTGTAATGGAAGCTTTTGCCTCATTTTTCTGCCTCTCTCTTGGGCACTTTAGGATTTCAGTTTGAACAGACCTTATTGTTATAAGGTGGCCAAGGGTTGTGGAGTGGAGGACAGGTTTCTGGTAAATGTTTCTTCAGCAGCAGCATCCTTCAGCAGAATTTAACCTGATTTCGACAGCAAATGCGGACATTGAGCACATTTAGTTGTTTACCAAGGTGAAATTAAAAGTTGTTGTCAGAATTATTACTGACATTTGAATTATGTCTTGCTTTAACTGTCTAATGATATTTGATAACAGCAAGGGGTTGCTGTGCACTCCATTAAGAATGGTACTCACAGCATAAACAGTGTTGTTTCTTGTATACTTCTGACAGGAATACTGACTGTGTTGGAACAAGGTGGAGGTGAACGTTCTTTAATGAGTGAACTGGGGACATTTTGTGCTTTCAGCATTAAAATAATTAGCAATACTTTAAGTTCTAGAGGTGCCCCCCTTTTTTTGTACTCCATGACAGAAAAAGCAGGTCTAGAGATAGACAGTTGTGAACCTTGCTTTCCACAACAAAGCCAGAAGTGATCAAATATGTCTCATTTTATTCATTTGCTTTTTCTTACGCATACATTCCACAGGATGGCTAAACAAGGGATACTTTAACATCGGGAAAGTAAAATACAAAATAAGATTTCTCCACCCCCTCCATTGTGTAGGGTCCTTGGCTGAATTTCTGGCAAAGAACTTGTGAAATTGTCATGACCAGAAATTAAAGTAGTGGGATGGAGCCTGGCACACCCCAAGTTGAGTGACAAAAGGCAACTATATCCTGTAAAACAGGCATAGGCAAACTCGGCCTCCAGGTGTTTTGGAACTACAACTCCCATCATCCCTAGCTAACAGGACCAGTGGTCAGGGAAGATGGGAGCTGTAGTCCCAAAACATCTGCAGGGCCGAGTTTACCTATGCCTGCTGGGAAAAGTAGGTGTCTGTTCTGAAGCATTTCTAAGCTGCTTAATGGTTTAAAGGTAAAGGTAAAGGTACCCCTGACCGTTAGGTCCAGTCGTGGACCACTCTGGAGTTGCGGCGCTCATCTTGCTCTATAGGCCGAGGAAGCCAGCGTTTGTTCGCAGACAGTTTTTCTGGGTCATGTGGCCAGCATGACTAAGCTGCTTCTGGTGAAGCCAGAGCAGCGCACGGAAACGCCGTTTACCTTCCCACTGGAGTGGTACCTATTTATCTACTTGCACTTTGATGTGCTTTCGAACTGCTAGGTGGGCAGGAGCAGGGACCGAACAATGGGAGCTCACCCCGTAACAGGGATTCGAACTGCCAACCTTCTGATCAGCAAGCCCAAGAGGCTCAGTGGTTTAGACATTGTAGAATATAAAAATATAAAAATTATATCCAGTAAAACAACAATATAACTGAAAACTGATAAAGCAATATAAAACCATATGAAAGCAAATCAACACCATAACCCCCCCCCCAAAGAATCTGCACAGAGCTATAATTTCCATCACTCATAACAAACTACAGTTACCATGATTCTTTTTCTGGGGTGTGTAATGATTTTTACCTGCTGAAAGAAACAGAGTCATTATTTGCAGTCATTAAGCTGAGTCATTCTTAAGTCCTAATGTTAGGGGCTCCAGATAATGAATCCTCGGGTCTGAGTATAGGGGAAACTCTGAGTGTACGGGACAACCCAGATTATGAAGATAAATTGAACAGACTGACAGGGAGGGAAAACACACTCACGTTTGCTACAGCTGATTTGAGAACATGGAACCTGCTGCCTAGAAAACATAGGCTTGACTTGAAGTTCCATTCTAGATGTGAAAAAATCACAACACCGTAAATTCTCCCTTAGCTGTCCTAAAATGGGCAAGACCACTATTTATTTACAAAATCCCAGAAAAGCTGTTGATTTTAAATAAAAATTGTCCAGTACTTGGTAAAGAATAATCAGGCTGTATGGATCCTTTCCTCTCAGTCTCTTTTATTGTTACATCATTCTGATAAAAATGGTGGAATCAGGTTAGTATCATCAGGTGACCTTGTTTTTTAAAAAATAAAAAATAAATTCTTGTCCTTAATCTTAACTATCCCTTTACATGCAGTTTAATAAGAAAGAATGACTCTCTTCATTGTAAGAGCCAGTGCAGCGTAATATAGCAGTTGCCTATTATTTACGCGCAAAAGACTTT